CTCCCAGCATCAGGGTCTTTTCAAATGAGTCAGTTCTTTGCATCAGGTGGCCAAAGTATTGGAGTTTCAGCTTCAGCATCAGTCTTTTCAATGAATACATAGAACTGATCTCCTTTAGGATGGACTGGTTGGATCTCCCTGCAGTCTAAGGGACTCTCAAGAGTCTTCTCCAACACCACAGTTTAAAAGCATCAATTCTATTCTATGAAAAGTAGAGCGGTATTGTACCCATCTACTAATGAGGAAACTGAGGCAGAATATTAAGTGAACTTCACATACTTAGAAACTGACTGGGTCAAAACGTGAACACATGTACTGTGACTATATATCATTTGCTCTTTCATGAATATTGAATTATCTGACATGCATGAAAATACTCTTTACTATCTTTTACCATAAGAAAAATATGTGAATCTTATTTTACAAGATTTCCTAGAAATGTCTTATTAGTTAAAAAAATATATATATATATCCAAAGACCTTTTAGTTTCTCTGTTCTCCATTTATGCCTAGTAAAATGTTTTCTAAAATGAGTTAATTGCAGTAGCTAAATAGGGCAGCAGCTATTCTGATACAGACAGAGCAATCTACAGTCTGTCTCCATTCTATGAAAGCAAAATTACATGGGCTATGAAGTGGTAAACGTGGCAGTAAAATGAGAAAGAAACTGACCAGAAAAAAAGTGTCAAAATTTCTTAGTAAAGCATCATTTTCAGAAGAACAGTTTCAGGGGATATAGGAATTCCTATATAGTATATAAGAATATTTTATCAACTAAGTTGAATGTATTTCAGATAAATGAAATATTTTGCTTCTAATATTAAGTAGCTATTATGTCAATCATACCCAAAAGGGTGCTATATGAATGAATAATGGGGACAGTTTTATGTATAGAAAGAAAGGATAAGAGAAGCTAATAATGAAGAAATATTTGTGAAATAAATATAATTTAAATTAGCATAAGTAAAATTATGCAATTTTAATTTGATTCAGTGAAAAGACAGCTACAATTAAGCCTAATGTTGTGTTTGGCAGAAATGTTGTCTAAACAAGTGAGAAAAAATGTCCTTATATGAAATGTTAAAATCATTAATATTTTAAAATACCAATGTGTCATTGAAACTATTTGGAAGAGTTTTAATGGAATTCAGAACATCAGTTCTTATTGATATAACTCAAATTGTCCAGGGTCCAAGTTACTATCAGGTTGGCCTGGTCTATGATAAAGTGAAACTGAAAGTCCCTCAGCCATGTCTGAATTCTCCAGGCCAGAACACTGGAGTGGGTTGCCATTCCCTTTTCCATGGGATCTTCCCAACCCAGGGATTGAACCCAGGTCTCCCGCATTGCAGGTGGATTCTTTACCAGCTGAGCCACCAGAAAGAGGTAGGCTACAGAGTCTGATAGACCATATTGAGGATTTATTTTTGTCTGTTTCCCTAAGAGTAGTTGGAAACTAGTGCAAGGTTTTAGGAAGGATTTATGTGATTGTATTTGCATTTTGAAGAGATAACTGAATGCCATATAGATTGCAGAAGAAGGAAGCTGGATACCAGAAGACTGTTATCACAGCCCAGGTCTTTCCTGGTAGCTTTTAGCTACAGATGTTATAGTCATGACCCCATTCACAGAAATGTTGGTATCTATCTCAGTCTATCTTCTACCCTGAATATTCTTGAGTGATTTCAATATTCCACTGGTAGATGCATTTAATAATTTTGCTTGTCAAAAGTGTATTCTGACTAGTATCTGTCTGGTTACAACTCCTCGAAGCAGTGTGACCTAGTGGCACTCAAGCCGAGGTGGGCAGACAAAACTATTGCCCCCAGAGCCTTTGTTCCTATACTAAATATGGAGCATTTTCTTACTAAACACAGGTGGGCAGATTAAGTCATAGTCAGGACTGCAGGTAGCTTCCAGCCCCTCCCAAATGGAAAGCCTGTTTGGGAAAATGAGAGTAGCCTGGAGTGGCCTTTCCCCCTTATGCCCAGGCAAGGAGACTGAGTCATAGTCTTAGCCATTGTGGAGAATGTCTTTTGGCTTCATCTGCACTCTTGGGAGCTGTGCAGTCCAGAGGAACTTAAGCTGAGAGGTGAAGAGACAGGGTAATGACAACATTTTGCAGAGCAAAATCTTGTGGCTCTATGCAACTAGGGAACTAAGGGAGCAAGTTGGCTTGAGTTCAGACAGCAAGCAAAGAGCTTTACCAGCTTTAGAATTGCTTTCCCTACTGAGCTTGGGCAAGAAATTTAATTTGAAGCTCCATTCAACATTCAGCATGCCCAACCAGTGAACCTAACCAGAGCGCATGGAAGCTGTGTAGCCCATTCAGCAGCCCTACATACAGTGGCACTTGAGCAGAGAGCTTCCCCTATCTGTACAGAAAAGCCAAAGATCTCACCTGACCAGGTAATTCAGTGAACACTCTGGCCTGATTCAGGTCTCCAAACAATAAACTTTCAGGCCCTGGGTCCTGTCCTACGGGGAAGCTACTTTATAGATCCATTTATTACTGAATATAGTAATAAGTTTCAATTATCTAGCAAGCCTGACCAGAGAGTTCAGGTAAGGTGAAGTCTATCCTAGACTTAGATAAAGAACAAAGCCAGCAGTCTTATTTAACCATTCTCAGCTTGTGACTTGATCACCATTTCTATCCTCAGAGCTTGAACAATTGCTTCACTCCAAAACAGATCATAATAAGAAGCCCCACTTGCCCAAAGATATTATCAGCAGACACACACAGACACCCAAACTGAGTTGACTGATGAAGAACTGTCTCTGACATTGCAAATCTATAAAGTCTAGAAGAGAAACTCAATTACCCAAATTTGCAGATACCAATCTAAAGAATCAAGGATCATGAAAAAAAATCCGGTAAAAATTACACCATCAAAATAAACTAAAGTCCCAACAATTAACAATAAAGAAAATGAGATCTATGAATTGTCAGACAAAGAATTCAGAATAATCCTCTTGAGTAAGTTTAGTGAACCACAAGAAAACACAGATAGATAACTAAACAAATTTAGGAAAATAATGCAAGAACAAAATGAGAAGTTCAATACGGAAATGGAAACCCATTAAAAAAAATAAATAAATTTATGTTTATTTTAGAGCATAAAGACATAAATCTCAGAGCCGAAAAACACAATAATTGCACTGTAGAGCTAATTAAACAATTTCAAAAGTAAACTTTACATGCAGAAAAAAAAATAACAATCTGGAGGTGATACACTGAAAAATTACCCAGGTAATTAGGCAAAAAGAAAAAATAGTGAAAACAAATGAAAAACTGTAGGAATTATGGATCAGAATGAAAAGAAGCAACACCTGCATGTTGGACTTCCAGAAGGAGAAGAAATAGAGAAAGAGACAGAAAATATATTTAAAGCAATAATGGCTGAAAACTTCTTCAGACAACCAGATCCATGAGGCCCAAGGATATCCCAAAGATTTTGAACACAAACAGGACTACCCTGATACACATTATAATTAAACTGTCAGAAGTCAAAGACAAAGAAAGAATTTTAAAAGCAGCAAGAGGAAATAGATAAGCAGTAAACAAGAGAATTTCCCATAACATGACTTCTCATCAGAAACTTTCAGGCCAAGAGAGGATGGGATGGCATATTCAAAATATAGGTACACCTTGGAGAAATTGGGGGTTTTGTTCCAGATTACTGCAATAAAGTAAATATTGAAAATAGATCATCACACAGTATTTTTTTGGCTTTCCAGTGCATATAAAAATTTTGTTTCTACTATACTGTAATCTATTGTGTGAAATAGACATGCACATACTTTATTCTAAAAATAATTTGTTGCTTACACATCCATTCCCTATGTCTGTGTCTCTACTCCTTTTGTGCTCTGTCGTGACCTATAAGTATGGAAGGGGTTGGGAGAGGGAAAGAGATCTAAATGGGAGGGGATGTACATGTAAATATGGCTGATTCACATTGTTGTACAGCAGAAGCTAACACAACATTGTAAAACAATTATATTCTAATAAATTTTAAAGTATTAATTTATTGCTAAAAATGCTAGCCATTATCTGAGCCTTCAATGATTCATAATCTTTTTCCAGGTGGATGGTCTTGCTCTTAAAATCAATGGCTACTAAATGATCGGGGTGGTGGTTGCTGCAGGATCAGATGGTGGTGGAAATATCTTAAATTAAGACAATAATGAAGTTTGCTGCATTAATTGTCTCTCCTGTTTGGGAACAAGTTCTCTATAGGATACAACACTGGTTGACAGCACTTTACTTACAGTAGAACTTCTTTCAAAATTGCAGACATTCCTCTCAAACACTGCCACTTTATCAACTAAAATTTTTAAATATTCTAACCCTATACTGTTATTTCAACAGACTTCACTTCATTTTCACCAGAAGTAGATCATATCTCAAGAAATCACTTTTCATTGTTTACCCCATAAGAATCAACTCTGCATATATGCGAGTTTTATGATGAGACTGTAGCAATTCACATTTTTTTTCAGACCCACATTTATTTTATCTTTTATTTTCATATGAAAATAGATTTTAAACAAAATCCAAAAATAACTCTTGGCACTATAAATAAGGATCCTAAGTATGTTGTTTTTTTCTAACTATAGATATACCAGTTTATAGACTCAGATCAGCATGGGTTTTATAATAACACATTTCAAAGATTAAAAAAAACCCTCAGCCATACAAGACCCTGGTTTAAACTGTATACAATATTCCCATATGTACAGGTGACTTACAAAAACGCTGACAGTAACTGTAGAAGTGGAATAAACTACAGTGGAGTTTTCAGCATCTGAATTGACTGGATCTTGACAAAAACCAAGTGGTGTTCTAACGGTGACGTTAGTGAGGTAGTGGAGAAGGTTGTTCGCTCATATTTAGGCAAGATACTCTTCCTCCATCTGGCTGAGCCACTCGTCCTGCAGCAGGATGAGAAAGTACTAAGGATAAATTCCCTGTGAGCAGGAAGTTGAGGATAGCATCAGTGTCGGTAACTGTCTACTGACTGTGATGGACCTTGTAGAACTTGATGGAAGGAGCTCTGACTTGGTCCAAGACGGGAGTCCTCTGCCAGGGAAGACTCGAGCTGAGACGGAGTGGCTGACGACGTGGAGTCCACAGACGTGCTGCTGACCAGCTCCCCCAAGGCATCGACCTGTCTCCTCATGCTGTGTAGCATGCCCTCCGTCTGCCACTTCCGTTTGCTTAACACTTCCGCCTGCTTGGACATGCAGTGTCGGAGCTGGGCCTTGAGACCCTGGAGAAGACGCTCTCCCAAACCCAACGACAACTCTCCGAACGGCAGCAGCAGTTGTTGCAAAGTCAGCTGAGCTGCTGGCTCTTCAGAAGGAGGCGGACTCTATGAGGGCAGACTTCAGCCTCTTGCGAAACCAGTTCTTGACAGAGAGAAAGAAAGCTGAGAAGCAGGTAGCCAGCCTCAAGGAAGCGCTCAAGACCCAGCGCAGCGAGCTGGAGAAGAACCTTCTCGAGCAGAAGCAGAACAGCTCCATGCAGAAGGAGATGGCGACCATCGAGCAGGTGGTGCAGGACAACCACGAGCGGGCCCGGCGCCTAATGCGGGAGCTCAGCCAGATGCAGCAGGAGTACGCGGAGCTCAAGAAGCAGATGGTAAACCAGAAAGATCTGGAAAGAAAACAAGTAGAAATCAGTGAAGCAATGAGGACACTTAAGTCTGAAGTGAAAGACGAAAGCAGAGCCAGCCTGAAGAACCTCAACCAGTTTCTCCCAGAACTGCCAGCAGACCTGGAAGCCATTCTGGAACGGAACGAACACCTGGAAGGAGGCTTGGAGAGCTTGAAAGAGAACTTTCCATTCACCCTCAGTGAGAAACCATCACCTTTTGAAGAGAAATTGAATTTTTCTCACGTTCACATAATGGATGAACACTGGCGTGGAGCAGCTCTTCGGGAGAAACTGCGTCACCGTGAAGATCGACTCAAGGCCCAGCAATTCACATTTTTATATTTTCAGGGTCCACTTCTAATTCTAGTTCTTTTGCTATTTCCACTCCATCTACAGCTACTTCCTCCACTGAAATCTTGAACCCTAAAAGTTATCCATGAGGGTTGGAATCAACACTTTTCAAACTTCTCTTAGTGTCCATATTTTTACCTCTTTCCATGAATCACAAATATCCTTAATGGCGTCTAAAATGGTGAAACTTTCCAAGAAAGCTTTCAACTTATTTTGCCCAGCTTCATCAGAGGAATCACTAAAAGGCAGCTATAGACTTACAAAATGTATTCCTTAAAAAATAAGACCTGAAGATCAGAATTACTGCTTGATCCATGGGCTGCAGAAAGATTGTTGCGCTAGCAGCCCTGGAAACAATATTAATCTCATTGTCCATGTCTAAAGGAACAATTGGGTGACCAGGTGCCTTGTTGTGAATAGTTATATTTTGAAAGGAATATTTTTTTCTAAGCAGTAGGTCCCAAGAGTGAGCTTAAAATATTCAGTAAAGCATGTTGTAAATAAATATATTGTAATCCAAGCTTTGTTATTCCCTTCACAGAGCACAAGCAGAGTAGACTTAACATAATGTTTAAGGGACTTGGGATTTTCAAAGTGCCCATTTACATTTCAAAGTAAATGAGCACTGGCTTCAACTTAAAGTCTCCAGATGCATTAGCCCCTAACAAAAGAATCAGCCTGTCTTTTGAAAATGGCAATTAACTTTTCCTCTCTACCTCTGAAGTTCTTATATATGACATCTTCCTCCAATATAAGGCTATTTTTTCTACACTGTCAATCTGCTGTTTAGTGTAGTCACCTTTACTAATTATTAGTTAGTCAGTTCTTAGTTCTTCTGGATAGCTTATTATAGATTCTACATCAGCACTTACTTTGCTTTTTGATATAATGGAGAAATTATGGATATGGCTTCTTTTCTTAAATCACATGATCCAACCTCTTCTAGCTTCAAACTCTCCTTCGGCAGTTTCCTCACCTCTCTTGGCCTTCATAGAATTGAAGAGAGTTAGCGCCTTGCTCGGTGTTAGTTCTCGTCTTAAGGAAATGTGGTGCCTGGTTTGATTGTTTATCTAGACCCCTAAAACTTTATCCGTATCAGTAAAAGGTCTCTTTTACTTTCTTATCACTTGTATGTTCACTAGAGTAGCAGTCTTAATTTCCTTCTAGGACTTTTTCTTCACATTCACAAGTTAGCTAACTGTTCAACACAAGAGACATAGCTGTCAGCCAATGACTTTCAAAATGCCTTCCTCACTAAGCTTAAATCTTCCTTTTGTTTGAATACTCAAAGGCCATTTCAAAGTTTCTATTGACCTAATCTGAACATTGTTTTGTCTCAAGGAATAGGGAGGCCTGAGGAAAGGAAGTAAAATGGGGAAATGGCCAGTGAGTGGAACAGTCAGAACATACATAATATGTATATGGGTGCAGTTAATTGTGTCCCTAAATAATCACAACAGTAACGTCATGATTGCTGATTATAGATTCCCTGTGGCTCAGATGGTAAAGAATCTGCCTGCAATTCAAAAGACCTGGGTTCTATTCCTGAGTTGGGAAGATCCTTGGAGAACAAAATGGCAAACCACTCCAGTAGTCTTGCCTGGAGAATTCCATGGATGGAGCAGCCTGGCAGGCTACAGTCCATGCAGTTGCAAAGAGTCAGACATGACTGAGAGACTAACACTTTCATTTTCACTTTTCAAAATCATCATAATAATGAAAGCATATAAAATATTGTGAAAATTACCGAATTATGACATAGAAACGAAAGGATCAAATGCTGTTGGCAAAATGCTGTTGGTGCTTCATGCAGGATTGTCACAAACCTATTGTTAAGGAAAAAAATGCAATGTGTGTGATGAGAAATAAAGTGTAGTAAATCAAGGTATGCTGTAGCAATGAATTTTTGAAATGAAAGAAATCAATCCCATTTACAGTAACATTGACAAAATAAAATACTTATGAGTAAATTTAACTAGAGAATGAAAGATCTCTACTCTGAAAACTATAAGACACTGAAAAAAGAAATCAAAGAAGATGCAAAAAAATAAAGGATAAACCATGTTCATGGATTAGAAGAATCAATATTGTTAAAATGTCAAATCAATATTTTCAAAAGTCATCTATAGATTCAATGAAATCCCAATCAAGGTCCCAATGTCATTTTTTATAAAGTAAAAATAAAATATTTCTAAAATTTACATAAAACACAAAAGACCCCAATTTGCCAAACAAAACTTGAGAAAGAACAGAGCAGAATTCACTATCATACTTCCTAATTTCACGTTTTACTATAAAGTTGTACTTATCAAAACAATATAGTATTGACTCAAAACAGACAAATAGGCCAGCCAATAGAAGATAATTGAAAAGCCAGAAATAAACCCAAGTGCATTATGGTCAATTAGTATTTGCCAAGGGAGCCAAGGCTTCTCAATGGGGAAAAAAAAAAAGTCCCTTCAATAAATGGCACTGGGTTAATTGGATAGTCACAGATAAAAGGATGAAAATAGACCTATATCTTAAATCACTCACAAAAATTAATTCCAAATGGATTAAAGACTTAAATGGAAGACCTAAAACCATGAAATTCCTAGATGAAAACATAGGAATAAATCTCCTTAAAAGCTCATTTTTTGGATTAGATTCCTGAACCCAAACAAGAAAATAAAATATAAACAATTGAGACTACATTTAAAAAATCAACTTAAAAGAAAAGCCATGGAATAAAAAAATGCAAACTATATATTCAAAAAGTTAATATTTGTTGGGAGACGTTCAGCTTTAAGGGATCCAATATGTTATTCTTTTCTTTTGGGTGCCATTTCTCAAGGATTCTCTATTCCTTATCAGTTCCAGGTAAACAGGAATGAGCGGAGCTGCAGGCAGTTCTCAGGACTGAGATTATGAGAGAGGGCACCTGCTTGGATTCCTTTCAGTGACTCCTTTAATGACCTTACTTAAATGTAATCTATTCAGTTATGCTCCTCTTACTCAAGATAAGGAATACTTTCTGGCCCCTTAAAGACTGTTATTTGCTTGACTCTGTTTTTGCTCAGTTTTTTTTAACTGCCTAAAGCTGCCTTGTATGAAGATATATAAACATGCACTTCTACAAATAAAACACCCTTGTTTCACTCAAGACTTGGGTCCCCTGTGTCCCTCTTCTCATCGACTCCACTCCCCAGGTCCCGGTCTACAAAGACCATGACAAATATTCACAATATCTGTAAGAACTCATACAACTTAATAACAAGAAACCAAATAATTATTTCAAGTTGGGCATAGGGTCTAAATAGACATTTCTTCAAAGAAGATACATGAAAGGTCAACAAGTACATCAAAAGTTGCACATCACTAGTCATTAGGGAAATAAAAATTAAAATCACAATGAGACATCACCTCACACCTGTTAGAATGGACACCAGCAAAATGATAACAGCTAACAAATTCTGGCACAGATATGCTAAAAAAAAACAAAAAAGAGAAAAGGGGGGATGGGAGAAATATTATGCAATGTTGTGGTAATGTAAATTTATGCAGTTATTATGGAAAACAATATGAAAGATACTAAAAATAATAATAAAGATTGAACTACAATATGATACAGCAAGTCCACTTCTGAGAATCATCCAAAGGAAATAAAAACACCAACTTAAAAACATATTTGTACTCCCATGTTTATAGCAGCATTATTTTGAATATCTAAGACATAAAAATAACTTAAGTGTTCATTGTTGAATGAATAAAGAAGTTGTGGTATATATCCTTAAGGGAATATTGTTATTTTAGTTGCTAAGTCAAGTCTTTGTGTTCCCATGCACTGTAGCCTTCCAGGCTCCTCTGTTCATGAGATTTCCCAGGCAAGAATACTGGACTGGGCCACCATTTCCTTCTCCAGGGGATCTTCCCAAAACAGAGATCAAGCCCATGCTGATTCTTTACTGCTGAGCCACCAGGGAAGCCTCAGGGCAGCCCTAAGGGAATATTATTCCACCATCAAAAAGAAAAAATGGAGGGCTGTTGTTTCATTCCTTAATGATGAAAACAAAAGACAGGCTGTTTTTCATTCTCCTTTTACAGTTTTGGGCTTCACAGGTGGTGCTAGTGGTAAAGAACCCACCTGCCAATGCAGGAGACATAAGAAATCAGTTTGCTCCTTGGATGGGAAAGATACCCTGGAGAAGGGCATAGAAAGAAAGAAAAGAAAATGAAGTTGCTCAGCCGTGTCCGACT